TCTTTCTTGAGCCAAAAAAAAAAGTTGATGGGTGTATGAAACTAGTATCAGCTAATGTGTTTTTTTACTCTAGCGAGAGGTGCTGCCATTTCATCAAATGGCTTAAAATGAGTTGTTGCATGAAGGAGGTAGGTGGCTTATATGTAACAACTCAATAACGTGTGCATTATGGGAGTGTGTCAATAAAAGTACAATTATCTAAACACTGGCTAAGGAAGACCACTCTGACTTAATGCTTAACTCATTGGAGTGTGGTTTTTTTAATGAAGGATAGAAACAAACATGCATTTAATGACTTAAGTCAGTATTTTGTAGGTGACATTTTTGAAATTTAACAGTTGAATAATTGAACCCAGCCTGCAGTCTTAGAAATCACAGGAACCCTTGGTGAGGAAATAATTTATAAGTGGTATCAAATATAATGTAACTCAGCCATTGTGTGTCTTCTACAGACACCTTGATTTATCTAGCATTTTATAAAGTGTATAGTTAACATTCAGTAAGTGAGATGAAAAGGCTGGATAAGACATTTTAAGTATGTTAAGAGTTACAAAAATCTGTATTCAAAGTAACTCTCTTTGAAATCTTACTTGTGTAAAGGGTTGGTGTTGGTTTGTTGTAACGTAGGCTATGCTGAGATCAGTGCCATCTTATTTTGAATATTTTGTGATACCTTTGGTATTCAGCAGGTAAGTTAAAATAAAACTGATTAACAACCTGCAATGTTTTACATAATTTTATGGTGTAGGAACTGCACAGTAATAGTTATTGTCATGTCAGATTGATTAATCCTCGAGTGATTCATTTTTGTTACTAATAGGTGAAACATTTGTGTGTTTTTGTAAATAATAAATATTTTCATCTCACTTACTTTGTGTACAGTTTAATGCAGGTGTTTAAGGCTTTTTTAAGCAGCACTTGAGAATTTGCTTGGAGCAGTGCTTTGATAGCTGGCTTTGAATGCAACCAAGTATCTTTTCTTCCACGCCACCGTTTCCACCCACAAATGCTCTTAAGGTGAATTTGCTATTCTAATAAAAATCAACAGTGTGTAATAGAGGTGTATTCAGATAGTTGAGCTCTCTTTAAAACTGCATGTATGATTTTTTGATTAGTTTCAGGGAGAACTTGCGGAGCTTGCGAGCATCTGCGCTGTGTTTAAAGCAGGGGCGGGGATATAATTACTTCAGTTTCTGTACAGATTTATAAAATCCTAGCGGACTTCACAAAAATGTAAGGTGTGTAAGGTAAAATCTGTCTATCCACAGATGCTACTGGAGTGTTTGATCAAAATACTGAACTACCGCTTTTGTGACTGAAAACAAAGACTGATTATCTAAAATAAATTAGATGATTGTTCGGCTGTCCTTTAACATCAGGCTGGGTACAAGGAAATGTGCTCTTTCCATTGGTGGGAAATGCTCTTTGGCTTCACCCCTCCCTCTTACATCTTACTGGTGCAATGAAGATGTGAACAGCATTGGTGGTTATGCCTTGCTTTACAGCAATAGGCTCTTCCTTTGGGAAAGGTGTGAGTGTTCACATTGAGGTGCTGGTCCCAGATCTCTGTCCATCCATTCCTTCTCTGCCTTGCACTCAGGTGCAGATATACTGCAACCCTCTCCTTGGAGCATCCTCTGAATGGCTGATGGCTTGGACTACAAGCTGGGATATAATTCAGGTAGTGGTGCCATGCTGGTAGCCAGGTGAGGGACTTGTACTGCTGGACTCATCAGGAGGCAGCCCTGTAGTCCATAGAGGAGCTGGATGGTAAACCTGTCTAGAGGATTACCTGGAAACATTGGGAGGAGTGGAGAGATCTGTGTTTTTTTGTGGAGTAGGTCAGGATGCTGGAATTGTACCACTGAAATAATTTTTAGAATTGCATCCAGTTCAGTTGGTGCAAATATCTAACACTTTGGCCTATTTAGACCTTTCTTACATTAGCTTAGTTTAAATTTAGTGTTTAAATAGATGTAATTATCTGTCTGCTTTAGAAATTCAAGTGATTTAGCGAGATCAATTTTAAACTGATTTTAATTAAACCAAAGAACCTTTTCCATTTTTACAGATGAGGCCTGTGACTAGCCTTTGTAAACAGCAGTAAAGTATATCCAGTCTTAGAATGACTTTTTTCTGCATGACTGATTTCTTCTGATGAAGGCAAATTTAGTTTATATACAAAACAACAGCCTCAAAAAATTAAATTCTAAAGAACATTTTGTTCAGTTTTTGTTCCCTTACTCAAAGAGCAATTCCTATTTGTTCAGGCTCCTATTAAATTACTTCTAGTACAACATTTCACTGTCTTTTTATAGTAGTCAGGCTGATGGACTCCATGACCTTTTTTACTTCTGTGATGCTTTTTCCCCTGACAAAGGAGAACTGTTGTAGTTTAGGCCCAGCTAGGAACTGAGCACCACACAGCCACTCACTTTCTCGTTGCTCTGGAGGGATGAGGTGGGGAGTAAATACAAGGAGACGCTCGTGGGTTGAGACAAGGACAGGGAGGGATCGCTCAGCAGTTATGGTCATGGGCAAAACAGACTCGACCTGGGGAATAAATCAATTTAATTTGTTACCAGTCAAATCGGAGTAGGACAATGAGAGATAAAACTAAATCTTAAACCACCTTTTCCCACCCCTTCCTTTTTCCTGGGCTCAGCTTTACTCCCAGTTTCCCTACCTCCTCCCCACCAGTGGTGTAGGGAGATGGGGGTTGTGGTCAGTCCATCACGCATGTTGTCTCTGCTGCTCCTTCCTCCTCAGGGGGAGGGATCCTCACGCTCTGCCCCTGCTCCAACATGGGGTCCCTCCCACAGGAGACAGTCCTCCATGAACTTCTCCAGTGTGAGTCTTTCCCAGGGGCTGCAGTTCTTCACCAACTGCTCCATCGTGGGTCCCTCCCATTGGGTGCAGTCCTTCAGGAACAGCCTGCTCCAGTATGGGCTTCCTGTAGGGTCATGGTCCCCTGCTCTGGCGTGGGACCCTCCTTGTGCTGCACGGGGGTCTCTACTCCCCTGTGACCCTCCATGGCTGCAGGGGCACAGCCTGCCGTCTCAGCACAGGCTGATGGGGAACCTCTGCTCTGGCCACCTCTTTCTCTTCACACTGACCCAGGTGCCTGCCTGGGTGTCTCTCTCACCACCCCCCTCCTCTCTCCACTGCTGGTGCTCTGTTTTCCCTCTTAACTCTGTTAATCCCAGAGGTGCTGACTGGCCTGGCCATGGCCGGAGGTGGGTCTGACTTGGAGCTGGGGAAGCTTCTGCCAGCTTCTAACAGGAGCCACCCCTGTGACCCTGCTACCAAAACCCTGCCACACAAACCCGGTGCAGGAATGTAAGAGACAGCTGCGGTATTCTAATTTATGGTGATAGGAAGCAGAATACAGAGGCTTAACTGGAGTCCCATGGTGAGGTATGCCATTATTCTGGTATTTGGAACATGTATACATTGCTTTTGTTGAAGGTTATTTGCAGAGAGTGTAGTGAAAGTTGGGAAAAGTCTCCTGAGAAGTCTGTGCTGGGTCTAAAGCTTAAATTTTCGTATAAGGTGTCATTGTAGTGAGGTGTGTATGAGACCTGTGAGGCATTTAGATTATGTGCGCGTCTCTTGGTGTAAAAGGTCATAAAGGGCTGTGATTAGAGGTGAATATTAAATATATTGCATGTAAAGAAAATTTTTTTCCTGAAACTTGTTTTTTTGAAAGAGATCTGTGTGAGTGATGGGAGTTGTTCTGACACCTGAGGTTCTGGCAGTTGGTTGTGTTTCAGTGAGTAGAGGGCAGCTAATCAAGGGCATAATTCAGCTGGTCCCTACCTCCCCTTGAAGGGTGACTCTGGCAAATAGGGCCTGGTCAATATGCTTTATGTGTTACAAAATGATGATGGTGCAGAACTTGTGTTCCCATTGATTGTGTGCAGGACAGAAGAACGGAATACCTTTTGACTAGCAGTAAATCCATAAGAAACTTAAATAAGTTGCCATGTGATCTTCTACCCATAACTCTTTTTTCATACAAAGAGAAGATACCACATTCTAATCTACCACTTTAATGTTCTTTGTGTTTATCTTGGTTCTTTCTATTCTGCTCTGCAAGCATCAAATTTATTTTTTCATCTATGTAAGTAAGGTATATGTGGAGTAGTTGAGCTGTTGAGCAGAGGCCCTTTCTTAATGATACTAATACTGCAGCAATACTAGCAAGCATATGGTGGCATTAGTTTTCTAGGACTGATGGTCCTGCATGCAAAACTTTAACTTCACGTTTCAGACAACAGGTAGTACAGTAAATCTAAATGAAAGCTTGCGGAATATCTCATTAGACTGACAGATGTGCAGCCATGGAGTGTTACAGTGGCATCTGTTCTGGAAACAGAATCTGAAGTACTTGCTCATATTAATAAAACATGCATCTGGACACAAGAAACCGGGCATGAACAACAACTGATTACGCAAAAAAAATTACTTTGTGAGTGTGGTTATCATCTTTGTGATGCAGTTTCCATCCTAGATGTGCTTCTAAGTCTGAAAATCACTCTAGATCAGAGAGACTTAAGCAAGGTCTGTACTTTGCTGTGCTGCTAAGTGAATTGAGAATGAAGGCCTGCAGAGCATTGTTGTGAATAGGGAAGATGCTGTGGTTCATCTTACCCAGTTTTGTCCCCTGATGGATATGTTTATGTTAGTAAGTTCACTTGAAAGCAGGCTCGAACTCTTTAGAAAGTAGATGAATACACACAGCTTCTCTGGTAACAACTTTTCTCCTCTATCTGCAGTATGGTCAGTGTCTTTGTTTTGTTGAAATGGAAGCTGGTGGGTCCTTTGACATTTCAGAAACAATTATTTTCAGATGCTACAATATGTTAAGCCTAGAAAGCTGCAGAAACACTTTAATGACCTTTTTTTTTTTTTTTTTTCCCTCCTCCTCAGACGGTCAGGAGCAGTTAATGCCTGCAGGCTCTCTTCGTAAAAAGAAGCTGGCAAAAAGGCCTGGATACATGAGGCCAGAAGCTCAGCGACAGATAGTGTTTCAGTCCCTGGGTACCTGCAAGCTGTTCAACCCAGAAGAGCTCAGACATGGCAGGCAGCATTGTGGAGACTTTGAGAACTGTTCTCTGTGCAGACAATACAAAAATAACTTTGAATTCTTACACTGTAATTCAGTTGCAAATAGTACTGTAGTTCCGGCTAATGGGGTAATAACGTTGGCCACTGCTGGAAATATGCCAGGGAGCTGCAAAAATCTTCCATGTTACAAGAGCCCGCGGTCAGAAAACACAGTGATACCGGATTACCCTGCCTCAGCAACAAGCAAAGGAGATGTTTCTACTGCATGCTGTGCGCGACCGAAGAGCCGTGGCCCTAAAGTGAGTGAGCCCCAAAACATGTATGCTTTGGATCAGACAGAAGTGAATAACAACTGTGAATATCAAACCAGAGATGTAGTTTCTCATTCTGTTGGTGCGCACGATAGCTTTAATTCGAGTTTCAGCTTCATACAGCTCTCCCTGAACTCGTCTGTTGGAGTCAGCGATGCTGAAGTCAGGTCAGCTCTCAAGGAAGCTGAGTATGTTCTGCATCCCAGCACTGCAGGAAATTTGCAGAAGCCAGACGAGACAGCACAGACTTGTGAGCGCTCGGGAGCTTTGCATCGCTTCTCCAGGCCCAGGGACGGTTTGGAGTATGAAAATGATACCACAGCAAATGATAAACTACAGGACTGTGAGACAGTCTCTCTCTCAGATACAGACGCAGCATTTTCATATTCTACAGATTCCTCGGCTGCAGCATCTGCTGATTCTTCAGTCACCTCAGGCTATGAAAGCAGCTTTACTGTTAGTGACCATAACTGGGATACTTTGATGAAAAAATATGAACCAGTGCTACAGGACTGCCTGCTTGGCAACCGCAGCACATTAAAGGTTGGTTGTCTCGCTTCATCTTTGATTCCTTCTCCTGGATCCCCAAACATTTGTATTTAGAGTGCCAAAGTCAAAGTTGATGTAGGAGTTGGGATATGAATGGCTTTCAGGACATTTGTTCATAGAGGCTTACAGCATCAGTCTGCATGATGAAAGTGAGAGAACCGGTTTCATTTTCTTTTTGATCCTTTTAAAAAAAAAAAAAAAAGGTGATGATGTTGCAGTACCCGATCCCTATGTTCTGCTGAAATGGTGATCCTCTCATTTCTGATATGTCACACATCCGTTTCTGCGTTCAACAAATCCCATTTTCTTTTATGGGTGCTGTTCTGTCTGTTGTTTGGAGTATATATGTAATACAAAATTTAGGGGTGGTAAGAACTCTCTTCTTAAAGCACCATGACTTAACAACACTAAAGTATATTTGGCAATGTGTAAGTTTAATGAAAGATATCTTGGAGTGAGGCACCTATATGACAGTAGCCTGTAATCTCTAATTCACATGGGTACTCTTCCTGCATGAATGAAAAGGGGGGTCAAGTCCCTGCTGTAGCTCAGACTTTTCTTTTCCTTCTACCCCAGAGCAGGACTGGGCTGTTGAGTCAGGAGGCTTTCTTTTTTCACGTGTGTGTACCACATGAATAGCTACCACATACACAGGCAGCCTCATTCACTGTGTTCTTTGTGTTAAGACGGTGCAGGAAACCTTCAGAAGGATCAGTTATGTTCTGTTACATAGTTTTTAGGATGGTGCCGTGGGATTTGGAGGGAAACCGTTCTGACCTTACCTGTGATAAGGAGCCAAATACTGGCTTTATTGTGCAAACAGGAAACAGTAATCCAGAGATTAACGTGGATGAGATGAATTTCACAAATTTTGTTCAAGGTGCATTAAGTGGGCAGTGGGGCTTTTTTGATGTGGTAGGGTTTTTTTGTGGGGGCTTTTTTGTCTCGCTAGTGCCCTGAGTTTCTGGGATGCCTTTCAGAAACCCAGGTACTTGTGACTTCCCAGCTCAGACATACATGCTGGGATGTGCTGTGTTGTCTTGAAGCCTAATTAATAAACAACCTGCTCTGGGGAGGCTTTGCACAACTCTGCTCTTTGAGTAAGACAAAAGGATTGAGAAGCTTATATTCTTTGCTCTCCATGGCATCTGACCTGGGTTTATGATGCGCTCTCATGCTTACTTTTCATAGAGGATGCATGTAGGACTCAAATTGGGTTCACTTATTTACAGACTTCACACACACTGACATGGAGCAGTTTCTTTGGCTTCATGCCTAGAATAACACCGTACCTGTAGTTTGGGATGGTTTGGGAAATTAATTAGCAGCAAACTTAGAAATATGTAAGACTATCAAAATAGGAAATTATTTTTCTGTCTTTTCAGTATGCTTATTTGATAGGTACAAAAGGAACACTGCTACCTTTAATTTCTGTATTCATCAATTCATCAAACGGAGAACTGGGGATTTGTGCCCTCAGATGTCTTTGCCCTTGGTTAGCCAGTCATGTATGTTTAATTTGAAGCACCTTCCTATTGTAATGATAATGAACAAGTCTCAAACTTTTTGGAAAGGGACGAAGACAACCACAGTCAAGAAAAGGAAAATACCAAAGGAGCCAATACCAAAGTTGTTAGTTGTTTGTTTTTTTTTTAATAAGTAGCAAAAAAAAGCAAAGTGGTTATCACGTGGTACAGATACAGGGCATGCCACGCTGAAGCAGCTCTTTGATTACTTGAGCTCCAAATGTCTCTGCAGCCTGCAAATAGAAAGCACTTTACTGTGACAGCATCACTCAGTTTGCTGTGGGCATGCCCGCCTGAGCTGTGGTACCCAAGCAGACTTCAAATGCCCCACGGGATGAGATAAACACTGCAAACAGCAGCAAAGCTGTACTGCTGGTATAGATGGTTGTTATACATCATATATATGAAAAAAGTGTCATTTGAATCATTCCTACTGCAGGCTTCCTCAAAACTCTATCAAAAGTATGGTGTAAAATACAGAAAATAATTTATGATGAGGATTCAGAACTCCTCCCTTCAATATGTTACACATTCCTTACCACCCTCAGAGAAAAATAGATTGGAATTTCAGGATGTGAAAAACAAAATAAAATAAAGCCCTGAGGAAAAGGGAGTATATACAATGTTGGTTTTGTTTGGTTTTGTTTTTCCTCTGGGGCATCTTATAACGTATTATTAATCAAGCATTTTTTGATTCTTTTCTGGCTTTATTTTTTTATTATTTTTTTTCTGACTAACTAGTTCACTTTCACATACCATATTTAGAAGGGATACCATCAATTTAAATGTCTTGCATGATTTGTGTGTTGATTATGTAGTCATGATAACTGAGTGTTTCTATTAAGTTGTTGGCTGACTGTACCTATTTTTCCCTATGCAATTTAGAGTTTAAATACAGGGATTTCAATATGAAAATGTTTCAGGGAGGAGAGAAATACTCTGTAAATGCAGAATGCCTAAAGTATGTGTTTTCTTGTGTTGGAAAATCCATTCCCAGGCACTTTCAGGCTTTGGGCTGTGAGAATATACGCTGGTTCTTTTTCCAGGCTTACCTTTTTCAGTGCTGATAATGGCTTGTTTGGTACAGGTCACGTATAAATGGAACAAGAAAACAACACTTTTCGGTCTTGTGACTGTAGCCATGTTAGGCTGTGGCTGGCATGGCGACGAGGAGAGCACTGCCTTCCTTCTTAACCAAATTCATCTAACAGTAAAAACTTGTAATGGCCTTTGAATGCACACCGAGCCTTACAAATTTTTAGTCAATTGAGAACTTTTGTCCAGACCCTTCATATTAACAAAGAGAAGCAGTAACATTTGAAATAAAACTTTATTATGGTAAGTTTCTTTTTGGGTGTGAAAGGTTACTCTGCATGTGGTATAGGTGTTCTTGGTCTTTTACTTTTTTTCCCAATCTAGCATTTGCGGTGTGAACATTTCTGAAAATGCAAACGTCAACATTATGTAGATGAGCCTAAATTATATTTTAATGAAACTTCACTGGCTGCATATGAACACAATTTTCTGTGCCATAACATGAATATGCTTGTTCCAAAATACTCATACTCTATTTCTCTTTCTACTGACAGGAGAAAATGTGGTTTGCATATGGAAATTCTGGATTTGTTCTGTGAAAAACTCACAGGCACAAAATTGTTAGAATGGGCTAAAGCACACACTGAGTATGTTGTGATGAGAAGTGGATGTCATGCTGACAGAATCCTGTAATAATCCTTACTTTGATTTATTCAAAGACTGAAAAATACCCTATGATCACATGATCTCTTTTGCTTTTCAAGAAATGTTGTTTGTTATTCTCATTGTGTGTTTGGACTAAAGCCATGCTGGCCTTAAGTAACTGCAGTTCAGCTGACTTCCAAACAGGTCTGTCCACTTAACAAATACTGAGCTTAACTCTCAAAATCAGGCCATTCCAGCAATGCAGTAATCCATTGAATTTGTATTATGTAGAGGTTAATAGTCTAAATAGTTTTAAATGCAACTTCTTAATAACTTTTTTTTTCTCTTTGCATAGATAAAATCCCTGATCTTACAGCTTCAGAGGCTTCAGGAAAAAGCGATAGAGGAAGATGACTATGATAAAGGTAAGAATTCCCCCCAACCCCCACTAGATCATGATGCTTTTTTTTCCTTCCCCCTCCTTCCTCTATTAATTTGAGTTTATATTTGCTACGGAGCAGTGGGTAGGTATGGAAGGCGAGTTCAGTGAACTGTATTGTTTATTCTGTTGTATGGCAGGAAACAAGTAGGTCAGCAGCAGGTAGCAACAGTTTTTATCTTCTTGAGCCACATCGCCATGTGGGAAGGTTGAAATCCGAATATCCACCATCTGGATCAGCTGTTTTGAAGCAGCATGACTTGAAAAAAATGCAGAAATGAATGAAAGCTTTGAAAGCAGAAAGGACAGGCCCTGGCTGCTGACCGAGTGTGATTTGTTGCTTGCCACATTTAGTCATGACACTACAGCAGGCCTCAAACACAGAAATGAGGTCAGTAGCTATTATAAAAGTGAATGATACTGTCCTGTGGGATTAACTTGATGTCCACTGAGTTGAATCAAAACCAGATAGAGAATATGATGGTGGTACAGCTGCTGGCAAATACCTGTATTTGAACAGTGCTTTTCCTTTCAAATGCCTTGGCTCTTCTACTAGGCTCTGTGTGTGTGCATTCTAATTGGAGGATCTATTAACACACATCTTGGGTTTTTTATTGCTTCCTGTTATGGTAGTCTGTGCTCAGGTATCCAAATTTTGATAGTCTTTTGGTTCTAGATTAAATTCTTGCTAGATGTATCTTTAGTTGGGAAGCCTTGCAAATGTTTCAGTAAAATCTGCATGGGTACTTCAGAGAATAAGGCTGGAAAAAGATAGTTCCTTTCCTGCCACTTTTTTTTTCTCAGCCTTTGGGGGTTGGGGAGTGGTCAGACTTGTGGCTTGCCCTTCAAAATTAACGTGTGAGGCTTTGCAGCTGTACCATGGTTCTGTTTCCCTGCCCCCAAACATGTCCCCCAGGACGATTAAGATGTGGTTTAATAGTGTCTAGGGAGTAGGTGTGTAGCCCTTTTGCAGGAGTGGTTCTGCTGGCCCCTTAAAGGCTCACCTATTTATAGACTAGATAATAGGCTGCTACTGTCACAAGTCATTCTTTTAGCATGGCATCTCCCAGTGGGGAACACCTTTCAATATGTTAAAAGCTGAAGATTTTCTAGATATTCATGGGTTTAATTTCTGTCAAATAGACATTATTGATGTGTATGTTTTACATGTGTAATAACTTTTCTTTAAGTGCATGTGGGTTGAGTTCCCAGTTGGAGACTTCCCAGCAGCTGTGTGCTCAGTGTGTGTGTGGTTCTCACAGATTCCAGCTGGGGTTCTCTGGACAGATGGCCACTCTAACAGCAGTATTTTACTATATCATGGTGTGACATCTGCATGTGATGCCATGTAGTCGTTGACCACAGTGGAAAATGGTGTCTAACCTTGCACAGAAAGCTCTTGTGTTGTTTTCTTGGGTGCTAGTCTTGTATCTCCGAAACAGGACCATCTTCCCGTTGACCTCATTTTGTCAAGTACCCTTTTCAGTTCCCACCCTAGTTATCAGGCAGGTAGCACAAAGGGCAGGGTCTTGCATTAATTCCCCTCCAGAAAATGGTCTGGCAGAAATGTGATTTCACCAGATGTTGTGGGCATGGCGTACAGACAGCAAATACAGCAGCAGTGCAGAGGTGGAGAGGAGCATCCATGGGTGGGGTTGCTGTTCTCCGTGCTAAGCCTGGCATATACAGGCAGAAAACATTTGTCCTGATATGGGACTAGATACTGAGGTGCTTGAGAGACTTTGCCTTGGGTTCCTCTATCCCATTGACATCCATCTTTGCACAAGTGTTCTCAGAACATGCCAAGCTGCTTGGTGATACGTGACTGTGCATCCATAATTTTATCAATTCCTAATTTTTGATTTCTTGACCTGCTTTCTGTCTTACTGGTCTTTGTTCCTTTTCTGATACAACTGTCACCTGCTTTTTTTTATGACTGCTTTTCATTATTTTCATGATATCTGAACTAGCTTCTTCAGTTTTTCTTTTGTGAAATGTGGGTAGTGTATCTCCAGGGAAAGGCCCACATGGAGAAGGTGCAGTGCTGCAGGGAGAATTTGAGCTGTGACCTTCCCTCCTCCTCCTCTTGCAGTGTCAAGCTTTCCACCTTTGCTGTTGGAGCTACGTCGCTGCTCCTGGTGGAGAACAAAGTCTTGTCTGGTGTGAAATGAAGTTTGAAAGCTTATTAAAGAGCTTACAGATTGGCCCAGTACCAGTTTCTGTTCAAGTGAAATCTGTAATTAGCCTTCTTTAAAGGGATCTTATTGCCAAATATTGCTAGCAGGGAATGGAATTGCTAAATGTGAATGCTCAGGACTGGTTTCTGCTGGCTAACACTGCAAACTTAGAAACTTAAGGGAAGGTGAGCATCTACTGTCTGACATTGCTGCTTTCCTGCTCTGCAGAGCTTTCTGAAAGTTCCTGTAGTTTATAGTAACTTGAAACTGAAGTGGAAGTGAAGTGGTGCCCCTGCAGAGGGGCGAAAGTGATGCACTGTGGTGTCTGCTGTGGCAATGAGACTAGGAAATGGCACGGAACTAAAGACAAGTTATCCCACTACAAAGCCTGAACAACTACCTTGTTGCAAACAAGTCAGGAGTAAGGGTGTATTCTTCCCCCCCCCCCTTTGCAGAAGCACAGAACAGATTCTTGCTGCTTGGGTCTGTTAGAGAACGTGTGTGTTTTCCAGGTGCATGTTAGTGAATTAGCCTTTCTTTCTTCTTTTTTTTTTAAGGAATATTTAGAACCACAAGCCTCCATTGTTGTTTAGAAGAGAAGTAAATGCCTGTTTAAATCTTCAGCTTGTTTCTTCCTAGTTTTTCCTTTCTTTAGCTTAATCTGTTTGTTCTGTCTTCCTATTGCCCTTGAGCTTGGGAGGTGCACAGCAGAAATGGCTTTTGCCATTGCTTGTTTACCTGTCCTGTGCCTTCCTGAAGACCTGCATTGGCATGGTTACGGTGTTGGTGTAGAGGAACTTCAGTCAGTCATTGAAGCAACTACCGCTGCTTCTTATACTTCCTGGCAGTGGCATGTGTATAGGAGGAGCGTACGTTTACTCAGAGTGGGAGGGTGCTGCTGGGGGCAGAGGCTGCCCTCCTGTCTTCAGGCTCATCTACTAGAGGTCACCGAGCATAGGGCTGCTGAGACCTGCAGGATCTCTCTCTTCATACTGTAGCAACCATGGGTTGTTTCAAATGCAGATTTTCCTTGGCTGTGGAATGCATATTTGGTGAGACAAATCTTCGCAGCCCTGGTTTAATTTTAAATAGGAACCTTTAGGATGGTACATGTTTTATTGCTCCTTCTGTGTTTGTAGGTGATGAAATATCAGGAAGGAGATAATTTTTTCTGTACTTACTTGTGGTCTCCTCTTGATGGCCACATTACTGTATATTTTCCAAGCAGGTACAGTATCCTGGAATACAGTAACAGTATGTTGCCTTGTGCAGCATACAGTAAAAATTGGTCGGTTCTCCAAGGATCACCTGGGAGTGTTGTCATGGCTCATTATTCATGATGGAGCTTGGCAGCTCCAAGGTTAAAGGCACTGCTGAATACAGGAGGTAAAAAAAAAACCCAAAAAACCCCAACAAAAACAAACCCAAACCCCAAGAACCCCCAAACCAAAACTAACCAAAGACCACCATCCTTCCTACCCCCCACAACAACAAAAAGAAAAGAAAAAAAACCCAAACCAACAAAAAACCCCAGCATAATTCTGTGTCTATGGGAGTTGGTTAGGCTTGTAGTGGAAGTAAGTCTATTTTGCACAGTACAAATTTATTGCCCAAACTTTAAAATCCATTTTCTTGTTCTTTGCCTCTTGAACTCCTCAACCTTGCATGGTACAAGGGGCAAATGGATCAGTAACTCAGTGTCAGGACTGAGTCTTGCTGCTGAACTCCACCACAGGTTCACATGCCATTTTGTTACTCAGAAATAAGTTAGTGGAGAACTACTGTGGGTTTTTTAATTCTTGTATGCAGGAATGTGAGCATATGGATTCACTGCTTGCAAATGGTAGGGAACAGTAACTTCCCTACCAGTTAGGGTTCTCCACTGAAGGTCATTGAGGAGTTGCTCCGATCTACTCACTGGTACAACATGGCAGCTGGAATCTAGGAACATTTACACTTGTGGCAAAACCTATCCTATCTTGACAATGAAAATTCATGGAGTAGATACACTTAACATCATGCGAGCCTTCAGTTGTTTTAGTTTGGGTCTCAAAGCTTGAGCTGGATGAATTTGGTGAGCTGCCGAGGGCTTGTACACTATGTGCTCTAGTGTTACTATGTTGTTTTCTTTTTTTCAGCTTATGCTGAGACCTCTTCATCCCAATTGCGCTTTCCATATCTTAGGACCTGCACAGCATCAACCATGTGCTGTGTAGGACTTGAAGCCTCATTTTGCACATTTTTCGTTAATCGCAAGTAGGAAGGGGAAGACTCTGTGGTGGTTAGCATCATGAATGTTTACACTAGAAGAGGTGCTGTTGCTCTCTTGAACCAGCTGTTGGTTTAAAGGAAACTGAGAGAGAAAATGATAGAGAGTGTAATGGTAGGTAAAGTCTGGGTTGAAAATGGCATTTGTTAAATGGTATTGAGAGGGAGGTCTTGGCCACTTCTTTACGGTGGTGCTTGCAAACGCTGGGTTATGCAACAACCACAAACTCCTGGCCAGCTGTATAGCTGTTTAATCTTTCCGAAGTCTTTTTTTTTTTTTTCAGTTTAAACAATTTTCCAGTTTAAAACGCTATTTCTGGATATAGCTCTTAAACAATTAAACCAGTTTGATCTTCAAGCAGGTGGATGGTGTGTGTTAGTTTTATTTCCTTTATTTTTCCTGGAAGAGCTATTTGCTATTTACAGATGAGGGCCGGATAGAAACCCTGCTTTACTGTACTTCTGTTATTTTGAACTAAAATGCTTGACAGATGGCTGTTAGGACACAAATGAAGGCAAGTTAGCTTCTTTGTGAGGAAGA